ATGTCTGTGAGGGGAGGGCTTCTGCCTCATACTGAGAATGAGGGGCGATCAGCAGGTTATCTCAAGTGCTTATATACGAATGCACAAAGCCTTGGAAACAAGCAGGGAGAACTGGAGGTCCTGGTGATGTCAAGGAATTATGACGTGATTGGAATAACAGAGACTTGGTGGGATAACTCACATGACTGGAGTACTGTCATGGATGGTTATAAACTGTTCAGAAAGGACAGGCAGGGCAGAAAAGGTGGGGGAGTAGCACTGTATGTAAGGGAGCAGTATGACTGCTCAGAGCTCCGGTACGAAACTGCAGAAAAACCTGAGTGTCTCTGGATTAAGTTTAGAAGAGTGATGTAGTGGTGGGAGTCTGCTATAGACCACCGGACCAGGGGGATGAGGTGGATGAGGCTTTCTTCTGGCAACTCGCAGAAGCTACTAGATCGTACGCCCTGGTTCTCATGGGTGACTTTAATTTTCCTGGTATCTGCTGGGAGAGCAATACAGCGGTGCATAGACAATCCAGGAAGTTTTTGGAAAGCGTAGGGGACAATTTCCTGGTGCAAGTGCTAGACGAGCCAACTAGGGGGGGAGCTTTTCTTGACCTGCTGCTCACAAACAGGGAAGAATTAGTGAGGGAAGCAAAAGTGGATGGGAATCTGGGAGGCAGTGACCATGAGTTGGTTGAGTTCAGGATCCTGACATAGGGAAGAAAGGTAAGCAGCAGGATACGGACCCTGGACTTCAGGAAAGCAGACTTCGACTCCCTCAGAGAACGGATGGGTAGGATCCCTTGGGGGACTAACATGAAGGGGAAAGGAGTCCAGGAGAGCTGGCTGTATTTCAAGGAATCCCTGTTGAGGTTACAGGGACAAACCATCCCGATGAGTCAAAAGAATAGTAAATATGGCAGGCGACCAGCTTGGCTTAACGGTGAAATCCTATGGATCTTAAACATAAAAAAGAAGCTTACAAGAAGTGGAAGGTTGGACATATGACCAGGGAAGAGTATAAAAATATTGCTCGGGCATGTAGGAATGAAATCAGGAGGGCCAAATCGCACCTGGAGCTGCAGCTAGCCAGAGATGTCAAGAGTAACAAGAAGGGTTTCTTCAGGTATGTTGGCAACAAGAAGAAAGCCAAGGAGGGTGTGGGCCCCTTACTGAATGGGGGAGGCAACCTACTGACAGAGGATGTGGAAAAGGCTAATGTACTCAATGCTTTTTTTGCCTCTGTCTTCACTAACAAGGACAGCTCCCAGACTGCTGCGCTGGGCATCACAACATGGGGAGTAGATGGCCAGCCCTCTGTGGAGAAAGAGGTGGTTAGGGACTATTTAGAAAAGCTGGACGTGCACAAGTCCATGGGGCCGGACGAGTTGCATCCGAGAGTGCTAAAGGAATTGGCGGTTGTGATTGCAGAGCCATTGGCCATTATCTTTGAAAACTCGTGGCGAACGGGGGAAGTCCCAGATGACTGGAAAAAGGCTAATGTAGTGCCAATCTCTAAAAAAGGGAAGAAGGAGGATCCTGGGAACTACAGGCCAGTCAGCCTCACCTTGGTCCCCGGAAAAATCATGGAGCAGGTCCTCAAAGAATCAATCCTGAAGCACTTACATGAGAGGAAAGTGATCAGGAACAGTCAGCATGGATTCACCAAGGGAAGGTCATGCCTGACTAATCTAATCGCCTTCTATGATGAGATTACTGGTTCTGTGGATGAAGGGAAAGCAGTGGATGTATTGTTTCTTGACTTTAGCAAAGCTTTTGACACGGTCTCCCACAGTATTCTTGTCAGCAAGTTAAAGAAGTATGGGCTGGATGAATGCACCATAAGGCGGGTCGAAAGTTGGCTAGATTGTCAGGCTCAACGGGTAGTGATCAATGGCTCCATGTCTAGTTGGCAGCCAGTGTCAAGTGGAGCGCCCCAGGGGTCGGTCCGGGGGCCGGCTTTGTTCAATATCTTCATAAATGATCTGGAGGATGGTGTGGATTGCACTCTCAGCAAATTTGCGGATGATACTAAAGTGGGAGGAGTGGTAGATACTCTGGAGGGCAGGGATAGGATACAGAGGGACCTAGACAAATTGGAGGATTGGGCCAAAAGAAATCTGATGAGGTTCAGTAAGGATAAGTGCAGGGTCCTGCACTCGGGACGGAAGAACCCAATGCACAGCTACAGACTAGGGACCGAATGGCTAAGCAGCAGTTCTGCGGAAAAGGACCTAGGGGTGACAGTGGACGAGAAGCTGGATATGAGTCAGCAGTGTGCCCTTGTTGCCAAGAAGGCCAATGGCATTTTGGGATGTATAAGTAGGGGCACAGCGAGCAGATCGAGGGACGTGATCGTTCCCCTCTATTCGACATTGGTGAGGCCTCATCTGGAGTACTGTGTCCAGTTTTGGGCCCCACACTACAAGAAGGATGTGGAAAAATTGGAGAGAGTCCAGCGAAGGGCAACAAAAATGATTAGGGGTCTGGAACACATGACTTATGAGGAGAGGCTGAGGGAACTGGGATTGTTTAGTCTGTGGAAGAGAAGAATGAGGGGGGATTTGATAGCTGCTTTCAACTACCTGAGAGGTGGTTCCAGAGAGGATGGTTCTAGACTATTCTCAGTGGTAGAAGAGGACAGGACAAGGAGTAATGGTCTCAAGTTGCAGTGGGGATGGTTTAGGTTGGATATTAGGAAAAACTTTTTCACTAGGAGGGTGGTGAAACACTGGAATGCGTTACCTAGGGAGGTGGTAGAATCTCCTTCCTTAGAAGTTTTTAAGGTCAGGCTTGACAAAGCCCTGGCTGGGATGATTTAATTGGGGATTGGTCCTGCTTTGAGCAGGGGGTTGGACTAGATGACCTCCTGAGGTCCTTTCCAACCCTGATATTCTATGATTCTATGATTCTTAAGTCATTATGCAAGGTAACCTATTTCCCCTTGTTTTTTCCTACCCCTTCCCCACCCCCTGTTCCTCAGACGTTCTTGTTAAACCCTGGATTTGTGCTGGAAATGGCCCACCTTGATTATCATACACATTGTAAGGAGAATGATCACTTTAGATAAGCTATTACCAGCAGGAGAGTGGGGTGGGGAAAGAAAACCTTTTGAAGTGATAAACACTCATTTTTTCATGGTCTATGTGTATAAAAACATCCTCACTGCATTTTCCACTTTTATGCATCAGATGAAGTGAGCTGTAGCTCACGAAAGCTTATGCTCAAATAAATTGGTTAGTCTCTAAGGTGCCACAAGTACTCCTTTTCTTTTTACTTTTGTCAAATATCTAGTCTTTTAAAAAATAAAAAACAATTGAGTCATAAGGGTCTGACAATGACAGTAGGCACAGTGAAGCATGCTATAATTAAGGCTGAAACCCAAGTTCAGATATAGCCCTCTCCCTTTAAAGGTGTTTATATTCCCTGGAAAACAAGTTTTGTTGAACACTTTGGCATCCATCCACCCAGGTACTTATATGGCCCTCAACACTGTAATACCAAAGCACCTACTCTTATCTAGATGCCCCTATGCACCCACATTAATGTTGCTTTCCGAAGCTTTTCCTGCAGTGGGCAGGAACCTAGTGCATATTTTACCTCTGTAATACAGTCCTGTAGCCTTAACATTCTACCTGTCTTGCAGCTGATTTCCTGGCCAGAGGGCGAATTCTACTGAATACAGATGAGTTGCCATTAAAACCTTCATGCAAGCCAGGTAGGTAGAACTTTAAGCCTCTAGGACTTTTCTCTACACAGCCGTGTCAGAGTCATTGAGAATTACAGTATGACCATGCATTATTCAGATTCTGTAAAACCAGAATCAAGTCCACTGACTAGACTTTGTATGTTTCCCAGCTGTACTACCTTGTATTTGTTCAAGTTGAAACTCATTTTATTTCTAACCTCTCCGCTACACCTTTATATGATTTTTTTTGTTTGAATTGCTGGTTGACAACTCTCACATCAGTATAATATGGGACTAAGAATTTTGTTTAACCCACTCCAGATCAAGATGTTAAATAATAACAAACCTAATGCAGATCTCTGCAATAGCCTACTATACAGCTCCTTACATTGATATATTCCTATTTATCAAATAATGTTTCAAAACAGGTTATACAGGAAGACTGTAGAACACATAGGACATTGATTCCATTCTGATTAAAACTGCATAAATATGAAATACATGACATTTCATATTGATTCAGCATGCTGCCTGGAACGGGCTGTTCTCCTTATCCCCCACTACTTAATTATACTTACAATAGTTTATGGTGAATTTGATCCTTCTGACTAATGACTAAATATAAACCTATGGTTTGTACACTATAAACTGGTTCTAAAATTTAAAAAGTTCCCTCTATTTGTTTTATATAATTGATTTATAACAAGCAGTGCAGATTATGATGCTGACATGGAGAACGGAAACAAGCTGACACTGCCAGTATCTTTGACACAAGCCACCAAACAGCTTTCAGAGGGAAACATCCATCGCTACCAGTAAGCCCGATCTCTGTATTCTATTTCCATCCCCTGAACCCTTGAGACCCACACACACTTGTTTGATCTTTTCTTATTTACATATACTTGTTTTAATGCTCACCACTATTAGCAAACATATAATGATAAAGGTCTCACCTGAAAGAATTTTCTAAATTGGTTTTAAACCTTTTAATGGTTTTTCAGATATATTTTAACAAGAACAAAGCAGCCATGTTTCTTTTCTTATCAGTGAGAACTTTTTTATTCTCCATAAAGCAACTGGATGTTGCAGTGGATCATAAAGCATGGGGAAATTTCTATTTGAACCAAAGAACTGGTATCCAGGATATCCCAAACTACTGATACGCATAAGAAAAAAAAATACTTCAACAAAGAGAAATCAATGAAGCTATTAATTCAAAGAGTTGTGTGTGGGATAATCAATTCACAGAAAAAGATTTTTGAAAAGCTATCCATTAAGAATACAGGAACTTCAAAGCATAGAATACAGAACTGCCAGATAGGACTTACATTTATGAGCTTTCAGTCCTTCGAAGGAAACTGGTCCGTACTCATAGTACTCATACTCCCAAGTGTAATCAGAGTTAGACAAAGCCTGCTGAGATGTTCGGTTGGAAATTAACCTATGGGCAGACATCACTAACCTGTACAGACATAAAATGTGAACACAAAACATGTTAGTATATAGAAATATTTCTAACACTGTCTTTATATGTTTTTATAATCATGCGCCATCTTTTGGCTTTCCCCCTCCTCTGTCCCTTTCATAAGCAATGCCCCACCCTTGCATAAAGGGCCATATCCCACCTGTTCCTTTCAAAGCCAATTCCACCACTCCTTCAGATAGAGCCATCATGTTCCATCCCATTCCTTCCCTGCCCTATCCCTTCTCCAGGCAAATCACCAACCTGCGTAGAGCTTCCTTTTAATAGAAAGGTGGAATATATGAGGATCTCCACAGAATGTTCCTATTAACACACACAAGTATCAGAGCACATCACTCAGACAGAACATGCCTCCCCTAGGCCGAATACAGTAAATACAAATGATCATCAGGAATGGGAGTCCAGAGGTTTAGGGAGTGTCGTCTTATGGTATGTTTACATTACAAGCATTACAGCGGCACAGTTGTGGCTATGCCCCTATGGCAGTGGTGGGCAAACTACGGCCCGGGGGTTGCATCTGGTCCTCCAGGCGTTTTAATCCAGCCCTCGAGCACCCGCCGGGGAGCGGAGTCTGAGGCTTGCCCTGTTCCAGTGCTTGCCCCGCTCTGGTGCTCCAGCTGGGGAGTGGAGTCTGGGGCTTTCCCCATTCCACGCAGCTCCCAGAAGCAGCGGGATGTCCCCCCTCTGGCTCCTATGTGTAGGGGCAGCCAGGGGGCTCCACACGCTGCCCCTGCCCTAAGCGCTGCCCCGCAGCTCCCATTGGACAGGGAACCACAGCCAATGGGAGCTGCAGGGGCAGCACCTGTGGACAGGGCAGCGCGCAGAGCTGTCTGACTGTGTGTCCTCCATGTAGGAACCAGAAGGGAGACATGCCACTGTTTCTGGGAGCTGCTTGAGGTAACGCCCCCCCGGAGCCTGCTCCCCAACCCCCTGCCCCAGCCCGGATATCCTTCCTGCCCTCCAAACCTCTCAGTCCCAGCCCTAAACACCTTCCTGCACCTCCAACCCCTCATCCCCACCCCAGAGCATGCACCCCCAGCCAGAGCCCTCCTGCACCCTAACCCCCAATTTTATGAGCATTCATGGCCCGCCATACAATTTCCATACCCAGATGTTGCCCTCGGGCCAAAAAGTTTGCCCACCCCTGCCCTATGGTGTAGGCAGAGAGACAGTTTCTATCACTGTCGTAAACCTACCCCCTCAAGAGGCAGTAGCTAGGTTCTTCCATCAATCTAGCAGTTCCTACACCAGAGCTTAGGAACTGTTCACACCTCTGAGCAATGTAAATAGGCCTACCTAAATTTTAGCGTGGTGTAGACCAGGTCTCAATTGCACCAGGCTTTGTTTTCGGTAGGTCTCTACAACAAGAAAATATAAAATCAAGCCTAATAATCATTCTAAAGGAAAATTTCTGATCAGTTCTAAATATTGTGGAGTGGGAGAGGAGTTTCTTCAGATGGGGAAGGAAAAAGTCCTTTTTTTAAAACAGGTTCAGTTTTCACATTATGGCCCCAATCCAGCAAAGTGCTTATTTTAAACACTTGAATAGACACATGGAAGTCAAAGTCCAGCATATGCTTTAATTGCTGAATTAGGCCCTTTGTGTATTTTGTAATTTTTTGCCTCGTGCAATAGATAAAACAAAATAAAGTGAGATAGTCCCTTTAAAACTCACAGAGGTGCACATTTTAAAGAAATGTACAAGAAAGATTATTTTCTTTTTTAACAAAAAGATCTGAAAGCCAACTCCCGTCATGATAAAAAAAATGATATAATCTGTAGACTTCCAGAGCATTAATTCAGTGTCGCTATTCCAAAGAAAGTTGGCACTCTGTGTTCATTTTGATATATAGCTCTAATAGTAAGCCATGTATGATTTTAACCAACATAAGATTCCACTGGTTTTAGGAGCTAAAAACTGAATCCAAGTAGGGAGCTGACTCATCTTTGAAATAAATGATATAATCATGAAACCATGATTTAAATACCATGTTTTAAATGGAAAGAGGTTTTAAATTGTCATGCTTTTACTGTAAAAAAAATCCTTTGGTCAATCATTTATATTTGCTGTACTGTTTTGGTGCTATTTAAAAAGCAGATAAGCTGAAAATAATTCATACACTGCACAAAAGATTCAATAATGTATCAAAGATTTAAATTCATGATCCATCCTTTACTCACATGGAGCAGTTGCTTTGGCTTCAATATACTGCTTGTATGAGTAAGGGTAGCAGGACTTAGTGCTTACTTTAGCTTCAATCCTCCAATGGAAATCAAAAGGGTTCCACATGGGAGTAGAGGTTTGCCTGCATGCATCGCATTGCAGGATCAGGATAGTACATTGTTACAAGTATGTTAATTGTTCTTTCAGTTTTAGGTAATTTCCTACAATAAGCACATACTGCAAAACAAAGCACAAAGAGAGAGTTGCCTGCATCTATTCTAATAGCTAAGACTTCTACTAAATTTCTGAAGTATTAAGAAAAAGGACTAAGCATTTTTAAGGGTTATACAGAAATAACAGAAGGAACAAATGTTTGTTCAAAAAACCACCCCACTCATCTTGCCAAGCGTAAGCTTTGAAAATGAGGCAAACTTTCCATCCCTGAGATTCTCACAAACGTGTCTGCATCACGGATCATATTGTAACACCTGGCCAAAAATGTCCATATTCAAACAAGCACTCCCTTATAATGATGCATGTTATTCTAATTCTGGGTGATGGGAAGTATCAGTGGATCATTGGGAACCTCAGTTCCTTAGTCTCGGTACTTTTTTCTTTAGATTTAGATGGGAGGGAAATGCAACTTGCTGAATCCAAAAGAGCAGGAGGATAGTGAGTGGGCAGAATAATAGCTACCCCTCAAAAATGCTGGAGACAGTGCACGTTCTGTTCTTTCATGCCAGTCAGGTAGACTGCTGTGCTCTATCTCCCCCTCTTGGGCCACAACCAGAGATATGTTCACTATGCACCATTCTCACTGAAGTTACGGAGAGGAAGGAGTCTCAGACTCAAGCCCAGCTTGTATGATGTGCTACAGAAGGCTATCAGATGAGAGAGAGCTGCAAGATGGCTTTTGCTTTCAGGAGGTGACCCATGTTCTCTCGCACTGCTCATTTATATGCATTTTCACACACTATAATCCTTTCCATCTTCCCCAGTATTTTTTCCCCTTTAGTTCCCTATAAACCCCAGCGTGTACAAACTGAGAAAGAAAAAGCTGCCAAGATTTATATTTTAGCATGGAGCATAAGGATTCGCCCAAAAAAGGGGATAATTTAAAGAATAAATGTCTGGCCCTGTAATAGTTTTTTGGTCAAGTAAAGATGCAAGCAGCTTGCCAAGAAAATGTTCCTCTTGATCATATTTCTGTGTAATTGGTATCCAAATTCCACTCCAAATGCAAATATTAACCTTCATGAACAGCTCAACTGAACATCAGAGTCATTTATTTTTCTTCGTTAGCATTTGCTTGCTTTCATCTTTCATAAAACAAATAAGTGCAACAAAGTGAATTGGCGTAAATAACAGAAGGCATAAGGCTTCCCTTTGTTTGAAAGGTAGAAAAATAGTTCACTATTTGGTACTGTCTCAGTGAAAGTCTGTATAACACCATATCTGCTTCAATTAATTCAGAGAGCTATTTTTATTGGCCCAGGAAAGGCACTGGATAATACCCATCTTCTTGTTATTGTTTAGGTAAACGTGATATTCTTTTATTGACTTTCTGGAGTGTGGGGGTAAAGTCATTTTAACCATGGTTTATTTTTTCAAGATCAAGTAAACGCCCAGCCAATTATCGCCTAGTGTCAAACCCATCATTCATGAGCAAGCTCATAGAGGAGCTAGTCAAAGGCCGCCTATCATCCCATCTAACTGAAGCCGACATTCTAGACCCGGCACAATCTGGGTGTAGGCCAGGACACGGACCTGAAACAGCTTTATGGAACTGACAGATGATCTCCTCCAATCAAAAGATAGAGAACAGACATCCATTCTCATCCTCCTGGATCCCTCTGCAGTGTTCAACACTGCTGACCATGAAATACAGCAGTCTCGCCCGAGAGAGATGGCAGCGGTCCAGGATAACATGCTAAAATGGTTTGAGCCTTCCTGGAGGGACACACCCAAAAAAAGTAGTGATGGGAAAATGCACCACCTCTAGACCCCTCACTTATGGGGCTCCACAAGGATCAGTTCTCGCTCCAGTCCTTTTCAACATCTACATGCAACCACTAGGTGTACAGGTCAAACAACATGGATTCACAGGCCAGCAATATGCAGATGACACACAGCTCTACCTATCTTTCACCACATACCCCTACCATCAAGATGGCCCAGTGCTTGGAGGAGATCAGCTCATGGATGAAGAACAGCTGGCTGAAGCAGAACCCAAGGAAGACCAGGTGATGCTGATGGGAAGAGGATAGTATTCTGAGGAGTTTGCAGCCATGTTGACTCCCCTGTGGTTGAAGGTTCACATCCACAACTGGTCAGTTCAGTCCGTAGTCTAGGAGTATTCTCAGATTCCTCGCTGATGCCAAACTCCCACGTCACAATAGACATGAGTAATGCTTTCTACCATCTCCAGCTGGCTAGGAGATTCCATCCCATACTGGCAGACAAAGGCCTCAGTTGTTTATGTCTTCGTCACCTCTCGGCTGGACTACAGCAATGCAATATATTTGGGCAGGAAGCCATCAGCACTTAGGAAACTCCAGCTAGTACAGTACACTGCAGCATGTCTCCTCAGCGTGCAAGCTACCATGAACACATCACACCTGTCCTCTGCTCCCCATAGAATTTTTAATTAAGTTCAAGGTCTCAGTCTTTAACTTCAAAGCACCCCATGGCTTCGGCCCAGGACGCCTAAAAGACTGCTTAAAGCTCCAGGACAAAGACCGAGGTCGACAACTTAGCTCCTCTGGCACAATGGTATAACAACGGAATCAAGTCCTAAATTGTCAGAAATAATTTTGGTTTTTATTTAGAAAATTTTATATACAGAAAGTTGCAAATATTTTTCTGTCTCCATACAGAAGCTTATAATTACTGCATGACCATTACCTGAGCTGTTTGGTATATATAAATAGTGTGTGCTACCTGACATATATGGTAACTGGGACAAATGGACCGAGTTAACATAAAAAGAAAAGGAGTACTTGTGGCACCTTAGAGACTTTCGAAAGCTTATGCTCAAATAAATTGGTTAGTCTCTAAGGTGCCACAAGTACTCCTTTTCTTTTTACGAATACAGACTAATACGGCTGCTACTCTGAAACCTGAGTTAACATACTGACAGTAAAGCAAAAATCAAACAGAGAAACATTTTCCACTATTTCTACTTTCTCTATACTTCTGAGGGAAAAAGTGAGTATAATTTAAGTGCCTCTATTTCAGCAGGACTCTAATAATCTTCACAGTCTGAAGGAAGCATCACAACCAAAACATTATTTTTTTCCTTAGTGCTTTAAAGGAAACATCTTATGGTTCATATAAAGAATTCGACTTTTTAAAATGCTGAACTTTCTGAACATATTATATAAGTAGAGCTGGTAATAATCCCTATTTTTTTCAGGATGCTCGATATTTCCCATAATCAGACATTGTTTTCAGTTGCTTATAACTTTGCCAAACTTTAACCTTTCAGTCCAACATTTCCCATGCTGGGCGTCCACATTAGGCTGAATTGTCTTGGAAAGTTTCAGCAAATATGGATCAGCCATTTCCAAGAATGAGATGAAAGGGGAGGGGAAAAAAAACATGGTTTTGCCCACATTCAAAAAATTCTTACAGCTGTTTCACTGAGAAGCTCTAGCACTTCAATATTTTGGAGCAGGAACTTGAAATTTGGCAGGGGAGTGGCTTTTGTGTCAGGGATGTGCTTTTTCCTACTCCTGTGAACAGGGCCAGCTCCAGGCATCAGCGAAGGAAGCAGATGCCTGGGGTGGCCAATAGAAAGGGGCGGCATTCAGTGCATTACTGGGCTGGCATGTCCGGGTCTTCGGCGGCAGGTCCTTCATTCCCTCTCTTCCTCTTCGGTGGCAGCTCAATCGGGTTTTTCTTTTTTTTTTTTCTTCGCTGCTTGGGGCAGCAAAAAAGCTGGAACCGGCCCTGCTCGTGAAAATCCACCCAAATTTGGCTAAGTTAAAATTCTTAGAAAAATATCAATTTGCACACACTCAGTAGAGATTTGTTAGGGTTTGGTAGCTAAATTCTGATTCCATTTGCACTGAGCACGTTCCAGTCCAGGGTTGCAGGACTTCCCTTGCATTTGCTGTTCCCAGCTGTTGCTAGTCACTGTGATGCCAGGCACTAGAACAACGCAGGGAAACCATCTCTCCTGAGCTCTCAACA